CTGTGACCTAGCCACGTAGAATTAAGGGTAGTATCTTGCAGTCATTCTAAAGAAAATGGAGTAATTCTTGTTCAGTGTAACGTTGGACGTATGCCTAACGAAGGTGGATGCAAATACTTTCAATGTTATGTTGACCGCCAGAGAGTAGAGTGAATGAGCAGGAAAGTCGATGCGAGTACGGTACAGCTCAAACATTGAAAATCACTTATAAGAGTAATAGAGGAAAGTAGATGTTTACTCACGCATTTTAAGAATGCCACATTTTGTCAATTCTAGCCTATTCATGAGATCTATAGCATCCAACCCATCCTTCTGGTTGGCACACCTACGTGAGGTGGTTGAGGCTAAGGAAGATACACTTTTAGAGTCAGCGGTGAATGTAGATGTAAATGCAGAGACAACTGTGGAGGTAAGGCACATTGAATCCCAATCGACGCCAGCTGTTTCAGTCGAAATGGGTTGAACATCGTTAGCTTGGAACAAAAAAGAATGTGAGGGAGAATGAAGCGCTAATTAAACATAGCACAAATTGTATAGCCAGCAGAGAAATTCGGGTGGCAAGAAATTCCACTTATTAAATTTTGTCTCAGGGTAGACAATTCACAACTAGCAAAGAGCAAAGTAAGCACAGTGTACACACACGCAAATTCAAGTTTCATATGACCTATCCTGCACATAACTTAGTTATGGAAACTAAAGTGAAGAGGAGAGAATGCAAGAAAGGCAAACTGAAGGAAGGTGAAAGATGGAAAAGGTGGAATAATAACTTACCTGTTTTTTTCATTTTCATCGCTCACCGACTTCTTTAGCCTTAATCTTAAGGGATTGTTGGTAGGAACACATTTCCATTTTCGGTCCTTTTGACTATCCCTATCATTGCATGAAATGGGGGCAGTGTCAGAGCCAGGGGCCGAGACGAAAGGAAGCTCGTCAAACATTGATGTCATCGTTTGTCTCTCGGCTTAATTAACTGACTGTCAGTCACCCAAACCGGATCTTAAATACATGTACTTACGATCTTTTGACCACAGATAGAAAAAGGGGCTATCACAGCCCTAATGTCACTGGACTACACTGAGCATTCGTTAATGGCATGCATCTGATTGGACGATCAACAGCTGAGTTGAAGTCAAACTGTGTTGTCAAGGCAGTCAGTTGACCAAATTCTTGATTAATCTTGTCAAGTTGACTTGTTAACACTCGGTAGTTCTGCTCCAAACATTAGCCCTCTTCAAGCTGATTTGAGGAAACTTCCGATGATTTCAGCTAAATAGCCCATTTGCAATTTGATTTCTTTCCTGTCATAACAAACACGGAGAATATAAGCTGGGGTGCTATCATAGAAGCACTTCAACTCTTCCCTAACGCCACTTCATAAGGATGCTACATTACTTTGCAGCTTCAGACACATATTTCACATTTACTTTAACGAGCTATAGGCTTGAGTTACACGAAAGGCTTGAACCCGTCTTCCAGGTCGATTTTTCTATTAGTAATCGGCATTCACAAGAGTGTGGTAGAGGCTCTAGGACATTTAACCATTTACCACGAATCAAGGATTATTAAGGGCTCATCTATTTCAGCCGCGTCTAATTCCGTTACATTTACGGCATCCGTCTGACGACTTTAGTCAGGTATTATATATAATATGAATGGTACTGACCCGAGGCCTAATAACATTGAAAATTTTTTGATTCTCGGAATTTTACAGCCCACGTGCATTTTTTGCAAATCAGCAAAGCCATCCAGATTCTACTGAGAATCAGATGCCGTGAGAAGGGGCTATGGATGAGTTAAAGCATTATGTCGATTAATGCGATTTGATCTGCTGCAGATTGCAGTCAAAAGGCGTTAGTTGAATAGAATGGTTTGGAGAAATCGCTTTGATGTGTCATGTTACTCAGGATGCAAAACCCCCAAAACTTTGCGCTGAATTAACATAAATTTAGTTTTATTAGTCTGCATTTATATTTGTAATCATTTTGCCATCCTTGCTAAAAATAGCTTTTAATATTCATAACCTGGTCTCACTTTGTAATGTATTGTCAAAGCTTGAGTTCCATTCCCTTTCATTGTTTTCCTTTTCAGTATCGACAACAGGTATAATTGAAGATCTCATGTTGTTTTAGATTCATGCCACCTTCGAGAATATTTGCACACAGGTGCAAATGCTACTGAAGGCTAGCCGTCGAATAACATCCAGCGCCAACACAATCTCCTCAGCCAATGGCAACATTTTAGCGCATAGAATCGGGCAAAACTCTCTCTACTGATTGGTTGGTGATAAACCACGCAAAAACCACAAAACTTAGTGACTA